GAATGGAAAAGAATATGTCTGGTGTCAGCCACGTCTCTTGTAAGAATAGTATCCCGATGGAGTAATCTTTAAGGGATTGGGTGATGATGGGTTTTTTTCTGGTTTATGCCGCCTTGGGAGCCATTAGTTGAGGATTTCAACTAATTTGATTCCTGCAGTAATGAGTTTAGTGATAATGTTCTCTGGGCCTTTGAGGAGGGGTTTTAGGTTGAGAATTATCTTTTCGATAGTGAGATTTTGAAGGAGGGAGAGGAGGTCTTTCATGTCTTGGGTAGTTGACTGAGTAGTTTGTTGTTGGGTTTGGCTTAAGTTGGTGGCAGAGGCGTAAGATTGGTTTTGGAGTCTTAGGTGGTGAAGTTGTTTTTTTAATGGCAGTCAAGTCGTATTTGGCGGGGAGTACTTTGATTACAAATTTGTCTCTTTGTTCGTCTGTGACTCGGTTGAAGTGGTAAAAAATGGTGGTGAAGAATAGTTCTTTTAGTCTGGGGTCTCTAAGAGATCTGGCCCAAGCGGTCCCTTATCTTCCCGTGGGCAATCACAGTTATTGGTTGAATTACCAATTCTGTCTGACTACACTTGGCTGTCAGGTGGTTATTACAGTTAGTCTTCAATTCCTTGATCAGTTCTGTTGGGTCAAGGATTGTCGTCGTCAAGTCAATTCTGAATAGTTCGATTCGTCCTTTGTTGTATGGTTTTGGATTTATCGTTTGTTGGGAGGATGATTTATCAGGTAATGGTTCATTAGTTGTGTTTAGTTCTTCAGGGGTTCCGGAGTCCGTTTGCTGGAGGGTCCAATTGGGAGAGAGGGTTGAAGGGATTCAGGGATTCGACAGGATTGCTTTCGTGTGGAGGCTAGGGTTTGGCTCCTTTTGTAACCAAACGGAAGCCGTCATCCGCCAAGAAAACTTTGGATGGTTGGTCGGGCGAGGAGTCAAGAGAGCGTCGGAGATGGCGCTGCGCTTATCGGGATACCTCATCGCTGGCGTTGGAGGTTCCCGCAGGTGGTGCATCGGCCATTTCTTCGTCTGACATCGCGTCCGAGTGCGGCAGCGGCTGGAGCCGCGCCTCCTCCAGAAGTAGTTTGTTCTGCTCCCGGAAGTGACGGTTGCTCTCCGCAAGGATTCTTCTAAATACACTCCTTGGGGTGTTGACAAGTGAGAGGCGCCTCCGGTCGATAGCTTACGCTGTTAGTTTTAGGCCTTCCACCTGATGAGGGTAAACTTTTATGCTTTTAAATATAATTTTGAACAATAGGTTTTCTGAAAGAAAGGTGATCAATTTTTTGACATTGCTGTCTTTCTAAATAGCTGCTGGCCATTTATGCTAGCATGTAACTATGCAGAACATAAATACATGAAACCACCACTTTTTCGATCTGATTTCAATTTTATAGCACTTCAAATTAGCGTCCATTCTATCAACACCTCCCATGAATTTATTACATTTTCTTACTGTATTAGATGATACAATAGGAACTTTCTTTTTCTTACTTGAAAGCCATATCTAATAGGAAATGCGAGGTACTAATTTTGAAAATCTGTCACTTTGTTTAAGTCATTGGCTGCACAAATAGCATTTTTTCGATTGAAACCTGTTTCTTCTAATTGCCGAACTGACAACTTCATTATAAGTGACTGAGTTTGTTTCTCAAAACATTCAACTTGGTTCAATATTGTATCCTGATAAAATTAGAATTCCGACGAAACATTTTGATTCCTCAGAAGAAAGCAAATTGCAGTTATTTGTTCTGTTATTAATAATCAGAGAGAAGAAAATATATATTAGATGAATTTTGAAATAATTATTCATGGTACCACTTGTGCCTGGTGTTCGAATATTGTAACATTTTAGAAAAAATGTTCAGCTAAATAGAAATATTTTCAAGATTTGTTACTTTACTGATAAAAGACCATGCCATTAACTACTGTAATATTGGGAACAAAAAGTTTAACATAAAAATATAACACAACTGTTTTTTACTTTTTATTATATATGGTGCCAGCAGTGAAACTTTGGCTCAATAAACCCTCTGTGTCTACAAACGTGAACTAAAACCAACTCTTAGCACTATTGGGAAATTCGATCCCACTGTCAAAGTTCTAGGAATATAACGAAGCCTCCACCTGCATTCTGCAATAAAAAGTCAAAGAAAAATCCATTGTAGCTGGTTCCAAGAATGGAACGCCTAGCATATATGAGTTAAACCTGTGTAATCTAAATGAATATAAAAAAAACACTGTAACTTTTGATAACATTTTAAGGTGGTTACAGCGAGAGTGTTGTTTAACATGCCTTTTTTATAGTACTAATCGAAAAATGAGAGGTTCTTCTATGTTCTGGCAGAGTTTAAATAAATTTCACCGTCCAGGTTTTGTGTGACGAGACCGTAAAGTTTGCTGTTTTAACATTGGTTCTTATGAGGACCTGAGAGATCTGACCTGAAATTTTAAAATTGTGTGAAAATTAACTGTTGAACATGCTTTTAAGAACTTTTCTTTTGGTAGCTAGCATCTCGAAAAATCAACATGCGCAATTTGAAGGAAATCTACCGTTTCAAATGGGAGAATTTTGCAAAATTATAAGCCTAAATCAGTCCAAAGTGAGACTTTCGCGCGCTTTCTCGGGTCGGGACAGTGACGCGCATCTCGGCCACACCGCGCGCTCAACGCGCTTCAATCAAATCGAGTGACAAGACTTAACAAGAGTTCGCACATTCCTGTGGATCTTCTGGGATCAATTATATCATCACTCCTGGAGAACATTGCGTTTGATAGTAACCAGATATTCAGAAACTGGAACTTTATGGATAAAACGTTTAGTGCGATCTGGATGAAATGTTAATTCAATTAATATTCCCAATTACTCACTTTGATACTACTACCTGAGAAAATGGGTGATCTTGAGAGTTTATAGAACTTTTTAAACATTCAGTAGTGTTATTATTTTGTTTTGTGCCGTACGTCAGTTTCTTGCTCCTGGACAATGAGTATTTATTCAATTATTCGAAAATTATTCACATTCTCTTTTTTATGGTGGAGATATGGTGGATTGTCATTGTCTTTTGCACCACAGATGCTTACATAGAACTCAAAGCAACAATCTTTAGCATAGATCAGCACATCAAACGGTATTGTTTCTGAATGGGCATTCAATTAAGAAAGAAATAGACTTTGTAGTGGCTTCAAATGTGTTGCAATGATACAATACTGTTTTGTTGGTGTTAAATAAAAACATTTTATGAAATGTTATGGTAACCATTCAATGTATAGGTGAATGCAGAGCTGGATTTCCTCCTAGCAAAATTAGTCTTGGGACTCCCATCCTCGTGCTCGGTTTTTTAAAATAAATATTAAAAACTTCATAAATGTTTTTATTTGAATAAGCATTAATCAAATAGTTTAATGAACAATGTTTGATTTTAAAAATAAATTGAATGGAACATTAAGAAACCAAACATGTATTTGTAAATTATAAATTTAAAAGGAAATTTCTACTTTGAAAGCGATTTGTTAATTTACATCTGTATTGGAACAATGATTTATTCTATCATAATTAGTGCTTTTTAGATTTATTCATAATTAGATTTAAAGATTTTTCTGTATGAATGCCCAGTGTAGTTTTGTGCTTGAAGACCTATAGTATTTAAATCTGCTCAGGCAAATTTAATAATTACATTTATAATTACATTTTATTAAAATTAGAAGAGGAATGATATATTCAACTTTTGGTAGTTTTAGTATTTTAATAGAAACTCCTTTTCTCTTCAGCACTATATTTTATCTAATTGTTTGCATTTCCTGAACAATAATAATGCATTTTGAATGGTTCTCATCTTATTTTCAAAACATTTATACCTTTTTTCATTTTCAGTGCAACATCAAGACAAACAATTACAAAAGACTATGCCACTTAGAAATCTCTTTCGAAGATTTTATCTCCAACAATGGAATAATTTTATTATGGAAGGTCTCAATAATACAGCTCTCAGAATTATCTGATGCAGTATTTTCATGTTATCAGCTTTAACTTGATGTGCACTTTACGCAATAATTTACAGCTAAATCAATATCATAACATGATATAAAATTATGTTGAAAACCAGCAAATAGTTTCTATGAATTATATAACCTCATCGCTGGAATAATACGGCACATTGCAATTTCTAAAATTTCAATCAAAACTATTAAAACATTAAAAATTGATCATGAAGTTTAATTAACTGAGCAAAAATTATATAAGGGAATAACAAAAAAAAAATATATTGTGATAAGAAGGATAATAAGGAGCAGTAGAAGTCAATGATTAGGATGTCTGTCAAGTTAAATATAAAGCTTTATACAATGTTGGAGAGAACCAAACTTTTGATTTTGTAATTCGAATAATCTAATGTTTGCCATACCATTGGTTCAGGTAATTCAAGAAATCAAAATTAGAGAGAAACAAACATTGAAAAAATATTTGAAAACTTTTTATTACGTATTTTTTCTCATAATAATGGGGGAATTATTTCGTTTTCTCTCAAATTCCGCCTTGGAAATAAATTTTCCGCCAATTCGCTTAGATTGTGATATTTACCGCGTGTCGAGCAGTATTCATAGTGATTCAAAACAACGAAACTGAAGAAGCATGACCTCTCAGCAGTCATGCCAATCTCAAGGACATTACGGTGTTGCCCAATTTATTATAGACTTTTTGCCCCACTCATACATGGAAATATTTACCATTATTAGCGATCACTGTACAAAAATATATAGATGTGTCTATAATGTTACTTTTATGATTTTGCACGTACTTATTGTGTAATGGTGCTTTTTTATGTTCAATCCTAAGCGTCAATTTTTCATTCTGTGGCCACGCGATCTATTGGTACTAGTTATGAAACTAGTCAACAGTAGCTCTTTATGTGGTATTAAAATATTTTTATTTTACATCTATTAAACTAAATTAATTCAAATAATTAAATACTACTCAGCATAAAAGTCTCCATTTGGTTTATGTAGGTCCCACAATACCCACTTATGTCGCAAATAATTATTTTTGAACGTAATATGGACTGTCTGCTAGAGAATATATCGCTCTAACCACTTTTATAATGTTTAGAAACTGTAAAGGTAGGACTCCTTTCTGGCAGGTCCCCAAGCATATTCTTAGAATGTTTGTATTTGTACACCTTTGGTGCGAAATAAGCTATGTTTATTATGAATAATAACCTTAATCAGTGGCATCACTTGGGAGTATCAATCATTTATTCTCACCTACTTCTTGAACTAATCATCCAAGTCCATGTTCTTACTAATTATTCATTGATAATTGTGTATCGTCAATTCTTTAAATTAAGTATACATTACATAACCTGTTAGAGCAAGCAAAGCTAATTCATTATTCAATTTATACAGTGCACGCTTAATCAAGTTTCTGTAGAATAACAAACTTATCGTATGTACCTGCTCCAAATTGTTTACGCAACCACTCTTATGTTCAACCGCCGTCGTTTCCAGAAGCTTCTCCCTGCATTGTGACGTAACAGACGCTCGAGTGCTTCCTTCTGGAAGACGATACTAACCGACGCGCTGTGCAATATTCTCTCCTTACAGTCAGTCTCCCTCTTGCTCGGCATTCTGACTGTGCAGTAGTGTTCAAACTGTGTGCATTTTCGCGACCCCACTGGTTTTAATACTATAGGGGATGTAGGGAAGTAGCAGTAGTTTTTCAGTTTAGATAACTTGAATTCTTTGTGGTTAATCAAGAAATATGACGCAATTTTACAGGATATGAGATGGTTTTCTTTGATCTTCCATTTTTTCAATTATTAGAAGTTAAAACAACTTGTACGACAGGTGTACATCAGGCTTTGAGAACATCAGCACTACCTAATTGGTACCTTTGACCTTAATAATATATAATGAAGTTTTTTCTTCTAAAATTCAATAAATTTCATGTTTATATGCAAGTGCACTTTCATAAGTGTAGGAAGAACTTCATTCACATGTTTTTGAACACTCTTGAACAAGTGTTGCATCTAATTTTGCAGGAACACAAGTATAGTGTAATGAGGTTTGTATTTTCGCAGACATCAGTACTACGGGTACACAAGTAGAACACAACAGACATCACGCAGCAAGCTCAAGTGGTATGACCCATTTTTTATAAACTCTGCAAAAACACACTATAAAATCCATTGAAGGATGCTCATGTGCCTCCAGTCTGAGTTTAAGCTGCTTTTTGCCACATATCACAAATAGGCACACTTTTATATTACAACATTGTGAAAAACCTTTTCTACAGTATTTCCCCTATATATACCTTTTTTGCAGTATTTTTGATGGAATTGAAAAAATTCAGAATGAGAATTCAAAATATAGTTCATTTTTAAATAACCCTCTTAACTACTAGATTATAGCTGAGTGTTGTTTTTTATTTCCAGTTCTTCCATTCAATGGTCCATAACTAGATAGTAGCAATTACACATTTTTGTTTGTTTGCATAAATCTCTCTGCTTTTGCCACTGAGAATAGGCAATAACGAGAACAAAAAAATAGCATGTTATACACATTGAGACTAGTTATTACCAAACTCAGAGATAAAGTTCATTATTACAGCGTAAGATGGCATAATACAACATACAACAGTAAATTTCAAACAAATATCCTAGAAATTTATTTTAAATAAAACAAGCTAATCATAATAAGTTCTTTCAAAATCAACTGTCTCTACACTCAGATTGAAACAAGCAACAAATTGACATTTTATCTGCTGGGTCACGACTAGCCAAACAGGAGCTTCATTATGATTTGATTTTTACAATTGAATCTCTCAGACATCCATGTCCCAGCTAATCAAACATCAATTCACCGTTTTAATTGGAGAAAAAAATAAGCTTTCATTTTTAAAAGATCTGATAATAATAGCAATGACAATTTGTATTAATATTGTAAGTATTAAAAAGAAATAAAAGGAATATCTTTATACACACATCATATCACAACCCATCAGTACAGATCATCACACATCAATCTATTGTTTCGTCAGACTGACCAAACAAATCAACACATGCTGTATGTCATCGTTGCATTGCTCGAACTTGCTCCTTTACTTCTTCAACCAATACTGCACTCTTCATCAAAGATTCTTGTTGATATCCCAAATGGGCAGATATAAGTTTCAGTTTGTTGAGATTCTGTGAAGGAGAAAAAGAAATCACAAAAGCTTCCCCATTTCTTCCCTTGGTATTGACATTAAATTAAAATTATGCACTTCTTACCGATTCTGAATTATCTATGGCATGTTCTTGAAGAGCAAAATTTCTTGCAGTGTGCATGAGAAGCTGGAATTGTTACTGAAGTCACAATCAATTCTTAATGATTAACTTAGCTAGCACCTCATGTCAAAATATCAACTATGAATATCATGCATATAGTGGGACATGCATTTGTATCAAAGATACTATTGGTTATGTACCTTACACAAATCACACTCATCTTATAAAAAAGGAAGACTTTGAAATATCCATCACTGATTTAACTACTAAAAAACCAATTATGCACATATCACAACTCTACTTAGAATTTGAAAATCTTTACTAAGTCTCAAAGATATTCTAACTTAAAAAACACACTGCATTAAGTTATTCTTTGTGATGACTTCAATATAAATTGACTCACGCAATCCAGTAATCAAATGTATTTAAGAACTCACTAAATAAAGTAAAATCTACAAACAACCATTAATACACCAACCCAAATATTTAAAAATAGTAGCTGTACATCAAATAATAATAGATCTAAATAACCATAGTTTTTCAGTTGTTACATTTACCACATGCTTCAGAGACCACATTGCCCAGATTCTAACACACTCAAACAGAATCAAAAATTACAGAACAGACAACTTACCAAAAAATCGGTAACTACTCCCAAGGAAACATAATAAAATTCCAAAACTTGCTCGGAATAGAAAATTGGAATGAAGTATAGCAGGTAACTGATACAAATGATAGAATTAACTCATTCATAAATATATATTTAAGACATTTCAATGCCACTTTACCCAAAAAACTCAAAAATAAAAAAAATCCTAATCATGGGCATCAAAGTATCATGTGAAAGAAAAAGCAATATATATTAAATACTAGTATGTATCAAATGCAACTCCAACTTCATTATATACAACAAAACATAATTTGATCCTAAAAAAGTAATCAAACAAACAAAAAGTATGACAAATGCACATGCATGTGACAAAACAAAAGCTATGTGGGACCTTATTGAAAAGACTATAACACAAATATAGAGCTTACTACAAAAACCAAACTTCGCAAGACCCTCAAGAAATGGCTGATATATTTAATTTTCACAAATTAGTATAAAATTAATCTCTCAATACACTCTAAACAATAAATACCACCAACCAAACACCAAAGTAACACAAATCGTAAATTCCTTATTTTTAAATGAAGAATTTCCTTCTGAAATATAAAAATCATTTGGCCAATGGAGAATAAATTCTCAGCAGACCTGGACAACATTCCAGATTTTCTTATGTATTCACAGTGCTTCATGTATAGTACAAACACTTATAACTACTACTACTACTACTACTACTACTATTAATATAACTACTCTCTAAAAATAGGCATATTCCCAAATGGCAAAAACTAAACCATTGTTTAAAAACCTTGGATGATAAATTGTGGAGACCCGCAAGGATCCATCCCAGGGCCAATACTATTCCTTATATACATTATATACATAAATAACATGACTTTGGTTTTAAGAAATAACAAAATAATTTTTGTTTGCAGATGACACAAACATTATCATTGAAGCAAAAATCATTAGAAAAAGAAACTCACAAAACTGCATGCACTATTTATTTATGTCAAAAACAGTTAAACTGTGTGTGACGTGTTATGGGGAGAAGTGACATTAATGTCCAGAAGCAAAACAAGGGGACATCTTCGCATTTGCTCAATGATCAGGGAAACTGGATGAAAACTTGATCCAGATGGGGTCATTGACTCAGAAGCTGAAGAACATTATTTGTTATAGGTTCTTAAGAATTATACAATCCAAATGGTAAATAATACATTAAATGTCATTGTTAAAATTAATATTACTTTCCTTTTGGATACTTTATACAGTCTCTAATTGTATAGAAACAGTTATTCAGAAGAAAAGATTTTACCTGGGCATCAAAAATTTTTGTATCGAATTTAATTGTTTAATGTCAGCTGGCTAAGTGTTGTAAAATAATGTAACTAGAGAAGTTAGAAATGTACTAACTAGTAAAATGGTTTCAAGACAACAAACTCATCATAAACACCAGTAAGTTAGTCTCTCTAAATTTCATGAATCCGTGATCCAAAGAAAAATTCTCACAGCATTTGCTCATAAATAATAAACCTGTAACGATATCCATGAAACTACCATCTTCGGTCTAATAATCCAAGAGTACCTAAGACAGAATGCTCACATCTCAAATTTCAACAAGCTCACCAAATCTTGCCATGCCCTATACCCTCAGGTCAAACTCCAACATTGAGGCACTTCGGAAAATGTATTTTGCAAATGTGCACTCACACCTAAAATATGGAATAACATTCTCAGGAAAGGCCCCTGAGACTTCTCATTTATTATCCAAAAAAGAATACTGTGAACCATGACCACGACGCACAAGTTGGAGTCTTGCAAACACTTGTTCAATGAACTATGGATTCTTCCTTTACCATGCATGTATATATTTGAAATAGTGGTCTAAAACAAAGACACTTATAGAGGGCATATAATAAAATAAACTTCCAATATATTTCTCTTGAGATACTTTTTCAGATACCTGGAAACAGATTCACTTTTTTCAGTCTATTATAGGCATAATCTTCTCACAACTTCGATATGGTATTGAAATATGGAAAGGAAAACAAAAAAATATTTATAGATGAATGGTCCTACAAAAGAAATGCATCAGAAGCATTTTCAAAATGAATCCAAGGCAGTACCGTAAGATTTCTTAATTAAATATAAATTGCTGACTGTTGTAGCACTATACTCTTAACAAAGTATTACTACCACTGAGAAATAATCAGAATCAATACCTTGTGAGTAATAATGAGGCACGTAACTATCGTGCTAGAGGACTATCACAGGTTATTATTCACTAGCAAGTCTTCAACTAATATAGATCCTTTCTGCATTGCAGCACTGCTTTTTAATATTATCTTAGTCACCATAAAATCATCGGATAATAAATACTTCAAAACATTGCTTAAACATCACCTTATTAGTGTGTGTCTATATAAGATATCAGAATTGTTTCAACTTTTCTGTAATTAAAAACCATGTGCCATACAAGAGTGACCACTCTTTATACCTGTCAAGTATGTTCAATAAGGCAATGTACTATTTAGTAATGTAGTAAATAATGTAATTATACATCAGGATTTTGTAAACACAATTATTTTTAACACTTAACATATTCACATTATAGTAGGTACTATACTGGTATAGTAGGTAACTATTACGGTACGATAAAGGAATTACTCACTCTAATAGTAAGTTATCTGCCACTGTATCACAATCTGCTAGTTTATTAATGTAATGCATTGTTAATGTTATTTTTCATTTGATAATGTGATTTTGTGTAGTTTAAAATGAAAATTATATTAATGTTTATTGTGAGCACTTGCTTTATTAATCATGTAATTTATCAAGTACTGTAAGTTACATAGTAGAATTTAATTCTTGTAATAACTTAAATTAATATAATTGTTTATATCAATCATAAATAAGTAGGATTAACATAAAATGTATCAAGATAATGTAAACTTGTTAAATTATTACGGTAAGTAGTCAATGTAGTTTAGAAAAAATGTAATCAACTTAATGTAATTTTCATTAATTTCTAGAGAGACTTTGCTTTATACTTTCTGTAAGACTATAAGCAATAAATAATAATAATGATAATAATATTTATTATTATCAATATTATTATTTTATTATTACACAGGTCTACAAATGAAAATTTTTTGTTAGCTGTTTTATATTTGAAATATAATTCTAAATATTTCAGTACCAATGATTTCCAAAATGAACTTTGTTTTTCTCTATCACATCAGGTTCTTTGGCAAATCAAGAATGAAAGATCCACATGTGTTATTGTTAAAAAATCACAAAATCAGTATTTATATAATAGTTACAAATGCATTTGTGAGTTTTTTTGCCAAAAATTTCACATTTCCATTCAGTTTATAAACATACATCAGTAAAATCTTGTTCATTTAGTTTCAAATGTTTGTCTCTTGGATTTTCTCTTGTGTATTTCCATAGATTCCCTAGACAGCATCCAGCAGTAATCTTCATCATTGAAATATTCCATAGTCCTTGGTATCTCCTCTCCATTTCTCGAACATCCATTTTGCATCAAAAAAGTTCTGAACTCCGGTAACATGTTCACAATTTTGACATAATCAGGATGTTTATTATTTCCTAGAAAATTATCGATAACTTCTTTAAATGCATTACAAGCATTTTTCTCTTTAGAAGCCATATTAGCTTCAAATTCCCTGTCTGTAGTTAAAGCTCTGATTTGAGAACCCACAAAGATTCCTTCTTTAATTTTTGCTTGAGACAGAGCAGGAAATTTGTGGCTGAGATATTTAAAACAATCACCATCTTGGTTAAGAGCTTTTACAAACTGCTTCATTATACCAAGATTTTTATGAAGAGGAGGCAAAATTATTTTCTTAGGATTTACTAGGCTATACCTTATTATGTTTGTACTTCCTGGTGTTAAACTCTCTCTTTTGGGCCATTGTTTTGTTTCCAATGTTTTTCTCTTGCCCTGCTATCCCGCTCACACATATAGCATGGATATTTCATGAATCCTTGTTGTTGTCTAATATCATACTGATAACTTTCAAATCTCCACAAAATAACCACTGATGCTCAACATACTTAATTTTCTCCAAAACAAACTTCAAACTTTTATAGCTCTTTCAGCTGTACTGAGTGTGCTACTGGAACTGAAGAAAGGACATTACCACAGTGTAGCAGTACATCTTTAAAACTTCTTTTAGTCGAATCGATGAATAGCCTCCAGTCATTTGGATCATATTTAACAGAACCCAATTTGTTTATTAAGTCTGGAATGTTATTACAGTAAACTAGATTTTCTTCATCACTGAAGTACTGCAAGAGATCTTTTTCTCTGTTCCTGTAGAAAGACACTGATGTACCAGCTGCCAGCAAGTTGTTTTCCTGTAGTCTGGAACCTAACAGCTCAGCTGCATCCTTGGGAAGGTTTAAATCCCTTACTATATCATTTAGCTTGGCTTGTGATAACGGTTGTGACGCATTTGACGTTTCGAGAACAAACTCGTCGGTTACAAGTGGTGATGATGAATCACTATTACTTCCTGTCTGTGAAATAAGTTCTATAGTGTCTGTAGGTGGCTTAGGTATTGGAATACCAGGCCCATGAGCAACTGGTCTCATAGCAGATGGCAAGTTTGGGTATACAATTCCTTTTTTGTTCTTTGCATTAAAACCCTTCACATTGCATGTACAGAAGTAACAGTCAGTGCTGTGATTCTGAGGTTCATGCCAGACCATTGGTATTCCAAAATGTAGTGATGGTTTCTTTCCCTTCATCCAATTTCGTAAGTCTTCAACACAAACACTGCACACAGTATGAGGAGCACAAGGCCTTGACTAATCCCCTAGGTGCATTCCGAAGTATGCCTTGTAAGATTTTGTTACAAATGTGGTTATGTTTCTTCTCTTCTTCTCCACAATAAAACTACCACAATGAATTTGGATTATTTACACAACACCTCCTTTCCTTTATTCTATACGAAATTACATATGATACATGCAAGAAAATGGTAGCATTTAAATGTTAATTTCTTGCATTACAGAACAACTATTATAGCTTGTACAGATGAATTCACAACACAAAAAAGGTGGAAGCAGCTTAGGATGTGCTGCCTCTACCTCCAAAACAGTCAACACGTTCATTTAAGTAGATTTAATCCATTAATGTCATTGTTTTCATGGTGTAATGGGTTATCATCCCAAAACAATAGACAAATAAATAAAAAGTGAACATTTTAATTTTGTAAGAAAACGGTATTTGATACGACTAAATGGATGTAGTTTTTGGAATCAGAACATTAAATTTACTATAAAAAGACATCAAAACCTAAAACGGCAAAATCCCTGTTGACCTGTGTTGTTGTTATTGTTATTGTTATTGTTATTGTTATTGTTATGGGTTATTATTATTATTATTATTATTATTATTACTACACTATACAAGTCGGGTCATGATTTTAAAGACATAAACAAAACAAACATTTCAGTGTAAATTGAAAGCTTTTCTAGTGAAACAAGTTCTAGTGTAAAGAAATATATAAATCACAACACTACTTCCTTTTAAAAAAAATATACAAATAAAAACTCATCTCATTTGACATTGTGTTTCATGTTGAGAGTTTCAAGCTGAAGCCAAAAAAGGAAACACCACTGGAACTGGAATATCACAAGAACTTGCATATCCCGTCCTGCCTGCAATAAATTGTAGTTGGACGGATGTAGAACACCTGATCAAAATTCTATTTCCTTCTCCCTGTATTTGCTACATGCATTAGGCACTGTTAACACTAATATTGTTATTTTAATTATTATTATCATTATTATTATTATTATTATTGTTATTATTATTATTACTATCGTTAGTAACACGTATTGTAATTCAGCTGCGAGATCAATGACACAAACTCAATCGGGGTTTTTGTCCAGTTTCCTTTGATTCTTTGACCCTTGCTTTGATTGTGGACAGTAAATGTAACTTCACTCCGTCCAAATTTTCTTGAGCTCCTTTTTGCTAGACATGAGAGGAGTGGAGAGTTAATTATTTGTTAGCAGTGTATTCAAAATCAAAATTAATTGCCGTTAGCAGTTCTTTAAGATAGAGGTGATCATTTTTTATATTAAAGTGCTGCTTTCTACCTTTACTCACAATAGTGTGTAGTAAGAGAAAGTAGGAAAATTTTGAGCTCAGGAAGACATGTGCACCTCCATTCATCATATCCAACTCTTCATACATGATTGAAATAGTATAAGTGACTTTAAAATATTTTTACTTAAATGACAATGGTTTTAATTTTTTATCTCCAAATACCTCATTTGATTTTGACCCACGCTGAATTTGCCGGGCTACAGATGCTATGTTATTTACATTCACTTGCACTCTGTCAGCCAAACGCAATTTTGAGTCCACAAATAAGCTCCGGGCACTAGTACTTGATGCTGAAGCCATTTTTGTATTCTTAGATGAATTAGTCAATGTAAATTAAAAGGTAAATGATAGAGATCTTGCCCAATAAATCAACTGGTATTATTACCAGACAACTGGCATTATTTTAATACCACCGCACAACTAGAAAACAAGAAATACATTCATTACTAAAACACGGAAAAGAAATACTAATCAAACATTATTACTAATATAGCCTGATATAATACTGTTTTTGTTGGGTTATACACATGTGACAGAAGCACAGCCCAGTTCCAATCAAATTGACAAAAGACTTGCCACTGTCATGATGACAGTCTAGGAGGAATTATTACGTGGGAGCTTTGCTTTTTATACTTGTTTTTTTATATAACTGTGATACAGTTATGTACTCTGAAGAACATTTAGCTAACCCTTAAGCTGTGGATGCAAGAATACAAGTAAAATATCACGTTCACTGTTTAGATGTTTTAATTGGCGAGACAGAATATAAAGAATGCGCCTTTATTCATCCAAGAAATAAGCGATGGAAATAGACATACTAGATAGATTAAGGAATGCATTGACATTCAGAATATTAATGACATATAACACAATTATTAAGTCACAATTGAGTTATGAGAGCATAGCATTAACTATTGATATTCGGGGTGTTATAATAATAAATAAACCACCCTCTTCACTACAAAAATGCGTAAGCCATTCACTGTGAAATGCCCAGAAAAGGTATTTGAACGTCCTCTGGAAAATCACTTTTCTTTCTATTTACATTCGAGGCAGTTTTTTTACTGAATATGAAAGCATGTTAAGACATTTTTCCACATACATAATTGAATTTCAATTTCTCCAGGACTCGCGTACGTGCATAAAGCTCAGCGGAACTTTTGGACTTATGTCTCCACGTGAGCCGTAAGCAAACACTTCACGAAGATGTGCGGCTAAACAGCTGCTGCCGCGGCGGCGGAATGTGAAAGACACGTGATGTTTAACGATTATAACGTGCAGCCTTAAGGCTAAATGTACCAACACTAGTACAATTTGTGGCCACCACGTGGCAGCACCAAAATAAGTAAAA